CCAGCCGTTGAAATCGCGTTGACACGACATGCCATCTCACAATGTAGGAATGAAAATCCTTCGAAAGATCTCGCTCATCTAAGGCCCACTTAGTCTCCCTGACGACAGCTGGCGACACACGGACTCACTTAGTAAAGAGTTGCTGGCCCCCGGTTATTGGCCCCCGGTTACTTGCCCCCGGTTACTGGCCGCCCCTTGGGTCCTCCTAGGAAAGGGCGGAGCATGTCCGAGAGGGGTTGGCCCTCCAATCCTGCGGGGCTGTCTGGGCAGTGGTACCCCGTGTCGTAAGCAGCACGACACATATAAGAAATGCGTTACGAAATCCGCTAAAGCGCTCCGCCCCAGCATCTTCAGGGGCCTTTTCAGCGGGCAGGAGCTGCACCCATCTTGTTCTCGCTACTCCTTACAATGTCTGGGTGTAAATAGCAGTGGTGTATGTGTGATGTATGTATGTGTGCGTGTGAGCTGCGCAACCCGTGTGATCAAATGCAATCCTGCAAAGATGTCCTAGGTAGCCGTAGCTGAGTAAATTGGTGCACAAAGCTTGCACGATGCCATTTCATGGTCTAAGTACGCCTGCGCTATGGCGTTTGCTAGGAACAGCGTTACAGCACGCGTCCGGATTGTAATATGGCGGAACAGGTACATGCATTGACTTCCTTGGGGTTGGGAAGTAAAGATCGGGTGCTGGTTTGAGGTACCGGCAGCTACACACGGGCAGGTCTTTTTTGGGGAGCATGTATTTTAGCTTTCGCAATAAAGTTTTTATTGCCTGGTGCCCGGACCCAAGGCGCTGATGAAGTGAGAAGCCCTTGCGCTTTCCGGCAGCAGGTCGGGAGCGCGACGGAGCCCCTTCCCAGTGTACGACTGCGTACGAATAATTTACTTATACTGGACACATGCCGGAGCTTGCGGTGGCGTTTACGTTTTGTTACCTCACCAGCACACACGCCATACACGCGGTGACGGTCGCATGGTGCTTGGCGTTACGTTAGACAATGATAAACCTTGTTACCGACCGTACAACACCTTAAGTAATGGGTACGCCGTTGCGCGGCGGCGGGGACCTCGCCCCTAAGAAAAATTGTCTTGCCAGTTTAACCAAACTTGGAGTCACCCTTTTACATATTGATCAATTGAATCAAGGTAAGCTCTGACCTCCAGGGATAGAAATTCAGCTCTTGCCGGTCGCCTGCCTTGCAGGTTCCTTGTCCGAGTTGATTAAAAACTGCTGCTGCACGCAGCACCAGCACCAGCCCTGCTTACACTGCCCTACCGCGAGGTTACCATACCCCGGTTAGCCAGCCAGTAACAGTGGGCTCTCCAAGCCGCGATTTGAGACGATGGAGTGGCAAAGACGTACATCCGCCCCGTAAGTTATGGGGAACCTTGGCTGACGTCAAGTTTAACAATCTATTCTTGTCCATGCATGACGGAGGAGCGGACCCAGAGAAAAGAAAACCGAGCAAGGGTAGCAAGGGCGAGTTGGGTAAAGGATTTTTGGGCTATTTGGATTGTTACAGAAATCCCGACTCGACTTGTTGCGGCATGCTTGTGATGAGCTGCTGTGCGTAGAGTCTATCGAGACTATTGCGTATAAAGGGAAATAAATGCAGGAGCTGTGTGCATCGGGATGTAGGTGAATCCCTTGAATTGTTTGGAACCTTTTTGCAGAGGAGGGCGGCGGTGAAGGGCGGCGAGGGTTTCGCGAGCGTAGCGTCCTGGAAGTCGCTCCGCCAGTCTCCGCAGCGTCGGCGAATCGCTCGACAGATTATTTGCCGGTAATCGTTTTCGCTCCCAAAGGCTTCCAGCAAGCATAAGCCGGACTCATAGCATAATCTTGTGGTATTTGCTTGCTTAAAGCTTTGCGCGCCAAAATGGAAACTATTTCGTCGCTTATCTCTCCGCACGTCAAAACAGAGACTTTTTGAGGCACTTGAGCCTTGTGCATAACCTTGATAACATTATGAATGCATGTCCTTTGCGGCTGACTACTTATCAGCAGCTTCTCCGCTTTGCTGCTTGTCCAATCGCTCGCCGCGTTTTTGCACATGTTAGTTGCTTGGTGCAACAAGTGTCCACGCTATTTCCGAGGAAACTGAACAATACGGTGGCATCCAAATAGATGCACCCACCTTAACGAACCATATCCTGGAATCTTAGTTCTACATACCTTTAAGTAAGCTCCAAGTCCAAGTGCACATTGGGTTTCGCTGCTGTCGTAAGTGTTATTACTCTTCTTGCCCGGCAGCAGGGCAAGATCATGCCTGCTGCTGACCTTACCTGACCTTACCTTCTCAGTTTTCCGTACATGTGCTGCATGACACATTACATGACCTTTCTACCTGATAGCCAGCTACGCCTCATGTCCTGGACCAACCCAAAAAATACGCATGTGCACTTGTGCATGCGACGCACATGCATGCGCGTGCACGATACATGTGCATGTAAGGACACGTATTCCCCCCCGGCTTGTGCATGGTGGCATGCCTAGACGATTGTGCGTGTGTCCGTAAAACAACAGTCTGGTATGTGCCAGGCACCTTTACGTAGCGCTACTGCTGTCCACAAAAGCGAATGCAGTTAGTTTCCTTTGCACCCATATGGCAATAAGGCCCATATGGCGGTCAAGTCATGGCCTAAATGCACGAATGGCGTGCAGGTAGTTGAAGGACGACGGATCAAGGACAGAAGAGAGCGCAGACACGCAGAGCAGTATTAGCACTTGAAGGCGTAGCACGTCTAGTGCTCAATCGAGCAGACGGTGTAACGCTTGTTTCATGCTTGTTCTTGCCTTACCGTGCCTGCCGTACCTGTCGTACGTATCTGTAATAAAGAACATCACTTAATCGCTGGGAACAAAGGACACAAGGAGGGGTACCGTTTATGTAACGAAAGGAAACCGCTAGGCAGACCTATTCCCTACCCACCCACCCACCCACCCACCCACCCACCCACCCACCCATTCTCGCTTCAGGTGCGTGCATCTACCGCGCGCCGCCCTCATTCCACGCAATCAACCTGGCCTGCACGTGCGCCCATTCGACCTTGCGTGCACACTTCCCTCCCGCATCACGCATCCTCCGTACACACACACACACACACACACATATCAAAAGGACCCTCCTCAAAGTGTACCTCACACACAAACTCCCCTTCTCGAACAGCCCGCCCGGTCCAGCATGGCAGCCGCTATAAATGGCCAGGTGGTAATGGCGTTCAGCTGTCGTACGTCATACTGACTGATGCATGCCACAATGGAACATCGCCTACTCAAGACACAAGTGCGGCGTCACAATTAACTGGTTGGTTGGTTTAGGGGTAGTGGATCCGTGGGGTCCGTGGGGTCCGTGGGGTGCGAGATGTGCGAGATGTGCGTGATGTGCGTGACGTGCGTGACGTGCGTGATGTGCGTGACGTGCGTGATGTGCGTGACGTGCGTGAGGTGCGTGACGTGCGTGATGTGCGTGAGGTGCGTGATGTGCGTGCTCTAGTAAGCTCTTGATGGCTTTGGATGTGGATGCGTTCACATCGCCGTAGTGGTTCGCATTATTACCGTAGTGGTTTTGGCAGTTTTGGCAGCAGCCAGTTAGCTTTATCAGACACTGACAGAATACAGCGAAGACCGATTAAACATGTAAGAGTACGGAATTTAAATTAAGATCTCAGCGGTGATGGTCAAATTCCCCCAGCTTCGTTTGGTTATGGCATGTGTCTAAAGTTACGGCGTTTTAAGTCCCGAAGGCCATTGGAATAACTTGTTAAAGCAAAAAAAGGAATAGTAATACGTTGATGCGATTTAAAGCAACGAAAAAACGAAAATGCTCGTGCATGCTGGGCCCGGCAAAGCTTCCAGTCTAGGCTATAATGCACTCGAGGCAAGGTCTTCGTGCCCCTGAAGCAAGCGTAGACAATGCTTTATAATGCGCAACGAATACTGAAAAAGTGCAAATTACTGCAAGAGTTGGACGGAAGCTGTAAATGCGCTAGCAAAAGGGAAAACGCATCTTCGTCTGACTTCGCCATCCAGCGCAGTACACGTTGCTTGAATTCTTAAGCTTGGGTTATTCTTTTATTTCAGGTGTCAAGATGCACAACTAAGGAGAATTTTTCATTAACTTGTCGCTCCTGGGCATTGCATATAATTTTCCGTACTCCTCAAAAATTTTCTCGTGCAAGATGCGTGTTTAAGGGCATATCCTAAATAGCACAACACTGTCCCACTTGGCCTGTTTTACGCAAAACTTTTAAGGATCATTTGCCTTGCAAAATGACAGCTATTACTGCTGGGCCATGGCGTTAGCATGACCTGCGCTTTCCCCGGAAGCTATGTCTTGACGGTACTAAATGTATGGTACGGGTTTCCATTGCGTGTTAGTTCTCTGGAGGGTTAGGAGGCCTTACCATCCCCTTAGCAAAAAAAGATGATATGTGTCTGCAAACGTATCTACATTTCCGAGCTCGTGGCATTAATCCATATCTACTTCGAGCTATGACTCGCCTCGATAACGTGCAAAACGATCATTTCCTATGCACCTTGGTATCCGCAAAAACATAATCACGCAAAAGTTGAAGATGTGCCTCGGACTCTGAATTAGTGGGATGGCTGTGTCGAAGACGTCATCGAGGTTTTCGACGGCATGGCTTATATGGATTGATATGAAAGGGGGGGACTGCACGTAACGGCCAAGATGTCCGCTTTGATATTCAAATCCATAAGAGGGGTAATTTAAGTCCTGACCTGTGCCGGCTTCTAGCCGTCGCGCTGTACGACATGCCGTAAGGAAACGGCGGCCGCATTGTAGAGGGACCCAAATTACAACTAGAGCTCTGATTTATGGAAATTAAAGGCAAGCTTTTAGGCTGGTACTGAAGCTCGTAATAACATCGACGGCTGCCTTGCGGGTGGCCAAATCCGGAACACCTCTTAAGCAGTTTTCTCCACTTCCTATGCTCTAAAAAATTCTCAGTATTATTTTCTCATTTTAATAAACGATCTCATGTCAAGATTGCAGTATGTCGTCGAGAGCGGGGCTCAGGTGCGCGGGCTGCTTGCGCTTTCCTTGCAGCTTGAATCTGGACAAGACATATCAAAGTTCATATTGACGTTTTTGTTTACCTGGCAGGATGGACCGCCAGCTTGGACTTTTTACGAGTCGACCACTTCGCCTACCTGCACCTTGGAGGACGACTGGTGCATTTCGTCCAGCAATGATGGCCTTGAATGCAGCGAGGATATGCCTTATGAAGATGCTGAAACCTTGGTTGAAGCTCCCGATACTACCTGCTGTCAGCGTCTGGGCAGCGCGCAACCGAGCAGCTTGCCGGGAGCAGACACATACGTCCCTGTGGGCGCCCTGATCAGGTAAAATCGGAACGCTTGGCTATCACATTAAAATCAAATTTCCTATGCTCCTCTTTACTGCCTTTTCAACGCGAAAGTAAATTTTGCCTTGCATGTGACCCTTCACCCGCAGAGCGGACCTTGGAACGCAGCAAGAAGTCTACGCTAGCGATACACAATTTCTTCTCAGATCAGTATTTGCAGCGCCGAGACAATCCAGAAGCTGTCCGTGGGCGGCCGACACTACCTTCCATTCGTCCGCATCCCCGCATGGCCGTGTTGGCCCTACAGACCGGGGGGACCCGAGAGCGGCCGCATGGACATATCAGCACACGGAAGCCGAACGAATTTACGGCGGCTGGCCTGAAAGTACTCTTGGCGACCGAAGACTGCTGGTGGCATGGATGATGGAGTTGAAGAATGCAGCACAATTGCAACGGGAGACACTTTTCCTCGCAATTTCGTTGCTAGACCGTTTCGTCGCAGCAAGCTCGGGATATTCGGTAAGATGCTGACGTTGAGGCTGATGGCTGATGGGAAGATCGAGTGTGTAGCTGGAGCGATGGTTTAGGCGAGTGAGACCAGGCCAGCTTGGCGGCCTTTTAACTAAATGTTTTTTTACTGAACGAGCCGCCTCTTATGCTCATGTGCCGTACACGAACATGCACACTCTTGTCGCAGGTCGACCGCCCAGAGCGGATGTTGCAGCTTCTGGCAATGGCTTGCGTGTCGGTCGCCATGAAGTTTGAGGAGGTACGGCGGATGGGGCTATACTGGGTTCAGGATGGCGTGGCGCAGACGCGGTGTGCCGAGCTTGCATGGGGAAGTGTGGGTACACCTGGGCTGTGACCTTGCCTTGTGCAAGGTGGCGGTATGCATCAATGGATGGATGACGCGTAGCTGGCTGATGGTAGTTGGATAGTGGGAATGACCTAACTGTTCGACTGGAGCTCTCCTTACTCCTATACGGTTTCAAAATAATGAAATACTTTGCAGGTCGCGCCGCTCCACAGTACAGAGCTTGTGCGTCTTGCTGTGGATCAAACAACTGGCATGCCTCTTTACCAGGTACGGCAGATCCGGTAAAAAAGTTAGAAGCCCTTGCCGTATAGCGTTTCAATGGCTGAAGCGTTTGAAGGGAATCCTTCCAAAACTCTATCCTGGAAATTTGCTGAAATTGATGGGCTTTAGTATCCCCGGTTTTTAGACCTCCGATGCGTTTTTTATGGTCGGCACGTTTGCATTCTTTACAGCTTCATGATCACTTCGATGGCGTTTCGATGCTATGCATTTGTCATGTCTCAAAAGTCCCGTGCCGAAACCAACAACCCACCAACGGCCAACTGCCAACCGATGTGCTTGCAGTGCTCGGACCTGGGTCGGATGGAGTGGCGACTGCTGTGGATGCTGGACTGGCGAACACGGGTTCCGACGTCCCTCACATTTCTGCAGCATTTTCTGCTCTGCTACTGCTACTGCAGCTGCAGCAACACAAAGTGCAGTAGCCGTAACGACTGGCTACAGGCTGCTTCCGTTATAACGGAGGGCTCCAACAACCAGTCGGCCGGCAGCAGCAGCAGCAGCAACACCAGCGGCAGCACCAGCGGCGCCGGCGGCAGCAGCGGCACCGGCGGAAAGCTGCGGCCTGGGACTCACGTCCCTGGTACTGGTATTGGCTCTGTTACGGCGAACCTTGGACCCGGTGATTTACATCTACCCGAGGGCAATGCCGCGGCTGGCGGCGGCGCACCATCCGCTGCTGCTGTAGCTTGTGGGCTGCCCCAATCGGAGACCGTTGACCACCTTGTTGACCACTATGCCGACTTGGAGGTCTGGGCGAATCGCATCCTGGTACGAATTCGGGAGGGACTTTATATCATTTTTGTTTTGGAATGGCAGCATGAAACATCTTGCATGCTTAAAGCACAAATCAGTTGTGTTGATAATGGAGAAACGGATCGCTGTTGCGACTATGGAGCAGAAGGGTGTTGAGGGTTCGCGAGCCTCGCTGCCTTGCACTGCCATGCTGGACAAAGCAGGAAATTGCGACACGGAGGGGGTTTGCCCGTCATGCACACCACCACATCCCCACCGCATCACCACCACAAAACCCCCCGCCTTTCCATTCCTTATCCTACGATACGTCCCTGCCTGCCTGCGTCTGCCTGCATCTGCCTGCCTGCCTGCCTTTCTCCAAGTCCTACTTTTCTCTTAAGCGCATATCAACACGCACATCAACACATTCACCCACCCCTGCAATACGGACGGACGGATGTATCCACGCACAGGAAGTGGCGCTCCTTCACCACTGTGATTTGCTTCACTGTCAGAGCACTGTCGCAATGGCATGTCTTGCGCTAGCGGAGCAGGCCACCGTCGCCGCCATGGCAGCGGAGTCGCCGGTGTTGACAGCAACATTGGCTCACACGGCGGACCCGCACACCTCGCTGCCGTCTGCACCATCGCCGCCATCATCGCCTCCGCCGCCATCATCACCTCCGCCGCCAGCGCCGGCTTCATCGAACGGTGGCTGCCCCGGAGCGACGGCTGTCGCCGCCAGGGAACATGGCTTTTGTTGCCTGATTGCCGTACAGGCGGTAACGGGTCTACCCATTGAGGAGCTCGCGCCCAATTTGTCGTCCTGCATCGCCTTGCTGAAGCACATTTGGGTGGTGGAGAATGAAAACTTGCTACTTCAGCAGCACCAGCAGCGGCCCCATCAGTAGAAGCAGCGGGAGGCGCCGAAACAGCCGCCACCGCCGAGCGCCAGGGGCAGGGGCAGGGGCACCAGTAGCAGCCGTAGCCAGTGCTGCCAAGCGACACGGCCCTTGTGGCGGCCTCCTGCCGCCAGCCGCTACGCTTCCCATCAGCTGCCTCCGCCATACCTGCAACAGCTCTCGCAGTCGGAGGCGTGCAGGCGCGCAGGCGCGCAGGCACAGGCGCAGGCGCGCAGGCGCAGTCGCAGGCGCAGGCGCAGCAACGGCTGCGACAGCAGTGTAATGGCGTGCAGCTGTTACTGGTGTGGCATCTTGAAGCGAATATCGGGTACGTCCATATTCGCCCATGTCCCATTCCAACGGAAACGTCACCATCTGAATACGAGGGTGGTGTGGGGTGAGGACAATGCTGGAAGTGAGGAACCCGTGGGTCACGGGGATCAAGCCAACGGATAATGACATGAACACAGCACAGCGCACACGACAACACCGCTGTGCTAAGGTGTTGTGTCTGCGATGAAAGCGCAACACCTTTGCCGGGCCCCCTGTTGGATGCCCTTTATTTTTTGGCGGGGGGCCCCCACGGCCAGGACAGCTTCGATTGGGCGACCGCCCTCCATCCTCGCTTAGCTGCTGGCTGGCTGGCTTGCATGACGGCGTGCGTGTGTATGCACGGCGGCGGCGAATGCACGGGGCTCGCCTCATGCCCTGAAGAGGATGGCACATGGCCTTCTTCTTGTAAGATGCTGTTTTGGTACACTTGTCGTACGCCGTACTTTTACACTTCATCTTCTGTCCAGATAGACCGGACAATCGATGTCAGTGTGCAGCAGAGGCCTCACATCGGTGGGGCCCTTAACAGCGCTGCGTCGTGACCTGCATGTATCGAATATGCTGGCAAGGAAGGACAGTTAGTTGGCCGGCAAGGGATAGTTAGTTAGTTAGTAAGTTCGTTGGGTCTTCTTAGGTCTTGCCTTGCCTTAGCATATGGGTAGTCCTTGCCGCCCTACGCATCCCCAGGACCGCAGGTCTTAGTCAGATTGCGAGTCCCTGCTTCAAGTGCGTGCGTATGTATGTATGTATGTATGCGTGTATTATGGATGTATGGATGTACGGATGTATGGATATGCAATCAAATACAGTAGTTATCTACGTCCGTCAGGGCACGCTGCACGGTTTCTCGTCTTACCCGGCAGCTTTCCCCCGCTGGCTGTCATTACCAATATTAAAATTTGGGCGGGCGGGCGGGCGGGCGGGCGGTGGGTTTGTTCATGGGATGGTTGGATGATGATTAATTTTTTCATCGGCTTTGTTGATATGCTGGATCGAAAAGGAAATGTTGGTTCCGAACGGTTAAAGTGAAGATTTTGAGCTGCCTAAATAGAAAAAAAACAGCAGCCGCGAACCGAAGATGACCAGTGAAAGATGTGGTGTCATGTGAAGTGATGTGACTCGCGATTTAAGGTTGTTTTTCCCAAATGGGATTAAGCCTCCGATGCTAGGTCTTGATAATGGGCCGCTGGTGGCTTACTTTGCCAGATTCATTATTCTCCCTTCATCGCCGCGCTTGCTTACGTTCCCATCGCATAAGTGTTGCCCACCCCCTCCCTTTGCGTCTGTATATCTGTCTGGATGCTTGTCTGTCTGTCTGTCTGTCTGTCTGTCTGGATGCTTGTCTGTCTGTCTGTCTGTCTCTCAAGGAAATGGTACGTCCTAGCGCGCGGGACAGTATGTCGTCCTTTAGCGTTGGAGTTCATTACCTTGCTCTGAAAGGTCACAGCCGATGTTGTCATTGATGGATAAGTTCGGGTTAGTTGTACGGGTTCCTTTTTGGTCACGTTTTGGAGTGGTATTGCCATTTTCGGGGAACCTTCAAGGTTGTACAAATTGAGGAATTCAGCAACAAAGCCATACAATTCTTGTCTGGGCCGGAGCAACGCGATAGAAAAATCAGTCAGGTCAGACAGTTGATCAAGAGCCGTTTTTTGGTTGTGTGCGATGACCACTTGCAACATCGCATCTTGTCGCATCGCACATTGCGTATGTGACTATCGCGATTCACCATACCTCCAACGGTGTGGAGAAGCGAGCGTGCAAAGAGGATTTGATCCGGATTGGCACTGGAAGGGGTGGCCAGGGGTGCTGCCGTTACGCGACGATTGCCTCTGTGTGTGTGTGTGTGTGTGTGTGTGTGTGTGTGTGTGTGTGTATGCGTGTGTGTGTGTATGCGTGTGCGTGTGCGTGTGCGTGATGTTGCAATGACGACGGCAGAGATGGCGGCATGTTGTGGCGTGCTGCGTTGCCAACGTCGCCCCAAGGATCATGTCGTACGATTGTGTGTGTGCAGTGTGTGTGTATTTGTGTGTGCCGTACATGGAACTGATCTGTGACGGCAGCTACTGGCGGCTGTGGGGTGTGGGTAGGGGCCCTCGTATCGGCAGTAGCGGATTGCGGCTGGTCGGTGCCTTGCCTAAGGGAGTTTGGATAGGTAATGACGATGATCGAGCCCGTTACGTATATACGGCATGTTTGAGGCTAGAAAACGTTAGAAGGCGCTTGCAGCTGCTATTGTGGCTGCTAGGAATTCCAGTCTTGGCTGTTTGCGTCGGAGCACAAAAGGCATTATTAACAAAGAAGTGGGGAGAGCAGCAGCAGGAAGTGTGCGATGGAGAAGGAAGGAATGGGAAGAGAGCTGTGCAGGCAAGTTGTCGGCAGGAGTAGAGTAGGTGCCGCTGGTCAGAGCTTTTGGTACGTCATGTTGTTAGCGAGGTTAGCTGTTGGTCGGTATTGGTTAGTGTGTTTACAAGTAGGGGCTTTCCCCCCCGGCTGCCGCGGCAGCCGCCAGCACGCCAGGCATATGCACTGGGTGCACCGGATTTCCCAGCAGGTTCTTTTTTCTCTTGGGTGACTTAGACTGACAAGCAAAAACGAGTGAGACAAACCTAATTAAGACACAATGGGTCGAAGAAGGAGACTCCAACCGGCTGGATGACAATTGCAAGCGGCTTTTCCCCGCAAAGGGTGTTCTTGACGATTATAGGACAGGATTAGAAGGTCAAGTACTTGTTAGCTGGTTTTTTGCGGCGCAATTTCAGTGTCTAAAATGTCTTTGCAGATGTTGTAGGTTGGTTGCCGTTGTGTCTGCGCACACATCACAACTTGCAATATCGTTTTCTGCTTCCGCTGCTGTTTGTTGCTGCAGGGATGCGTTTATACCTCATACTATCTTTTACCGCGATTCGTACGTATTGTACTAGCGAGGGCTACCAATCAGGGGCCGCCCTAGGTAGATGAAGTAGCAGTAGCATCATAAGCGTTCTTGCTCTCGCTTTTTTGTTTGTGTTAGTGATGGATGGAGGCCGGGCGTATGGTCGAGTGGCCGAGCAGACAGAGCAGGCAGTGTAGGTATATATCGATTTAGCTATATAGCTATAGAACTGCTGTACATCCTGAGTTTGATTAGGTCAGGCTAGTCAGAGGGGCGGCAAGTATGTAGGCCTAGCTAGGCAGGTAGGCAGGTAGGCAGGTAGGTAGATTATTATTATCAGGTATATGTAGGTAGGTGCTTATTACTTGTGATGCGTGTGCTTTTGCCACACATTGAGTCGTGTTAAGCTCGCTTACAAGGTGTAACCAGCAAAAGCCCATGCGAGCCACAGGAGGAGGCCCTATGATGGTCAGGAGAATAGAAGCGCGCTTAGGGTTTTAGAAGCGCTCTTTGCCTGGTGTTACACGCGATCGATTAAAAGGCAGAACGGGCGGTAAGGGCACACGCCTGTATATGCATAGGCGAAGTTAGGCAGCGCATCCATCCTGCGCAGGATGTTATGTGTCATAACATGGTCGTCAAGCAGAGCTTAGCGGCGTCGGAAATGACATATAGATGCGCTTATCGCAATATTATTATCATCGTGTATAGCTATAAAATCCAAGAAGTGTGCGCGTGTATAGCTATAAAATCCAAGAAGCGTGCGCGGTTGTGCGTTAGCTAGCAGTGGTGTTTCGGGCGGAAGGTGTTCAGGGGGATGAGGGAACACTACTAGATCATGCTCTGCCTGATCGCCAAATTTTCTGCCCCTACACCTTATTCTCGGAGTTGCGTTTTTTGAAGTTTTCCTCCGGTTTCGTTTTTGGGTGGACACGCGTTTAAGTTTAGGCCACATGTATCATCGATCCATCGCCGCTCCGCTCGGCGCTATAATACGTTTATAGCATACGTATTATAGCATAAGTATATAGCATACGTATTATAGCATACGGCATATGCCGACGCACTTCTCAGCAGCCGGTCGATTGTTGCCGCGCATCATGCAAGCACAAGTATCATCTAAAGCACGTAGAAATATAAACATAATCAGAAGAGTATGTTAATAAAAAAATTGTTACGCCTTGTGCTGTGCGCTTCCCGCCGCATATTATCCTGCGTTTTCCTTCGTTCCCTGTACCCGAGCCTGCAGGTTAGGGTACAGTATCTACGTGGATACTGCGTGGGGTACCGCCGTAGCGCTCGAGTGATATGAGGACATAGCAGCATGGGATTGTTATCGAGAGTAGAACTCGTGTTTATGTACTACTTATTTTCAAGTAATTGGCTTTTATTTGCGCACATCACCACGCATCTCCGTCGCCTCTCAATGCAAACCAGCAAGGAGGGCTTATTTTCTCCTCGGCGCGTCTCACAATCGATGGATCGGTAGGCAGTTTTACGTGCAACACGTACACGACCAGCCATAATCATCCACACAATACATGCCCCCATCTCCCCCATCTATTTGGAGTTACGGAGTCGTTGGCGAATTTTCCCTGGCTGGATGGACTAAAATTAATCTACAGGCGCCTTTTACTTTAATTGTGGCGCCCTTTATTATTTAAACACAAACGTTTCGTTTTATTCGAGTAAAGGTGTTTAATCATCCCCTTGAGCATAACAGCATGGATACGTTAAGGGTGTGCAGGGTAGCCGCCGCGTACCCGCCGCGTGCGCACTGAACAGAGGCTGACAAACTCTGTCGTTTCGCTGTACACTCGTGCACCGGGTCGTGCCCTAGCTGTTGTGCTGCTGTGCGGGGTGCTGAAGCAAAGTGATGTTCGACCGAGCCTTGGTGCCTGAGGACTGGATACGAATGGGATGTACTCGATGGATGTGAGGATGTCCCCGATCGATTTCACATAGCAAAACGCAAGCATACCTAGTTATCTTTATAATATCAATCCATGAATACGTACCTACAACGTACCTACATACGTACCTACATACGTACCTACATAAGTCATATCCCCCATTCCTGTTACAGGCATGAAGTCCAATCGAATGCGTGTTCTTCAGGCCTGGTCTCATCATTTGTCAATGTGCGGTGCGAGTTTCCTGCAGCAGCTGCTGCGGCTTTATCTCATACCATGGTTCTTGTTAGGTATGTATGTCACAGATGCCTGAGTATGTGTTCTGCGCACACCATACCTCGTAACCTTTTTATGGGTTTAGGTAATCATGCGCGACCTTAGGCTATCCCTAGGCAATCTTCGGCGATTCTCCCGCCTGGTGGCTGTCCTTGTTGATGTTGTTACAGAGTGGGAGACTTCTGAGCCGATGTTTGCATGCACACACATTTGGGTTGTCGTATATCTCGGACTGAACACCCTACAGCACCATCCACCATTACCACACTGTACTACACCATACGAACTGCAAGTCCATGGCGGTTGATTCTGCCTCCTAGAATCCCTCCCCTCATCCTTTCATGATCACCTCATCCTCATCCTCCGTAGAGACAGAGAGTTCAGCACTGAACTCCGGACCTGATACCGCAAATCGCAGCAGTTTCCTGGGTAGACCTAACCTAACCTGGTTGTATATTGAATGTTAGCCTATGTTATCATCCTGCAAGAACGCTAGATGCGTCAAACTTAGTTTTGTTGGATTATAGTTACGTACTGGATTACCATGTGGCTGTATGTATGTATGTAGCACAGGAGGTGAAGATACGCTAGGAGGGTACATGTTTGCACTTCAATGATTTGATGTTGTTAGCAAGCAGATTGCTACAAGGAAGCGACGACAATGTTTATGCAGGTATATGGAGTGTATATTTGTGCATGTGTATGTATATCTATGTATGTGCACATATGTATATGTGTGTTGTATACATGTGCTGTCACGATGTGTATGTGTGTATGTGTTCACATGTATGTGCATGTGTGTGCGAGAGAGGGTGTGTGTATATGTGCAGTGTATGTGTACGTATATGTTACACATTGATCCGGGCCTGACGCTGGCCAGGGACACCCCGTCGTGCCCCAACGGGAACGACTGCCGAAACACTTTCCCCCTAGCGGGAGGAGAGGGGTGTGAGCGCGGGGCCACATTCCCCTCCTGCTCGATCGAGGGCGCGCAACCCTGTATGTGTAAGCGGTTACTTGATTAGATGTTAAATGCAACGGTATCTAATCTACTAGCACTGACCCTTACTGACGCATTCCAGCCTCTATCTGATGGCCCGGTGACCGGTCATTAATGGTAATGGAATCTTCCTCCTGGTTCCGGAGCACACCTATCCTGCAGTGTAAGGGCCCTTGGCAGCTGCAGCTGGTCTCCCCGCTTCCCGCCTCAATCATTCCAAGCACGGTCAGCAAGCACGTCAGAATCGGCAGAGCCATGACAATACAGTTTTAAGGGAGACAGGAGCACGGAACCTTTTCTGGTTCCGGAGCACACCTATCCTGATATGATGTGATATGAGATGGTGACCTACCCTGAACTGTGATGGCGAAAACCTGGAATCAAGTCCTGTATTATGCTCATTGAAGCATTCAGACCAGAGCCCAGAAGATCAATCAATCCAGTGGTGGGTACCGGCAGCCCCTGCTGCCTTATTACTTTGTGAGCAATCGTGAAGCTCGGCACGACAGCGATGGATGCTCACGTACAGAGCATTTTTTACAGGCGTTCTCGACCAGAAACGAGATGATAAACAGGACTACAGACACAGGCACAATAGTGTAATGGCAAAGTCGACCCTTGAAGAGGGATCGATGTACGACTTGTGGATCCCGCCTGCTTGCAATCGACAGCTCATAGGGCCCAAAGTTGGACAGTTCTTCCTTGTAAAGACAATGTGGATGGACGTGTTGCCCACATGATCTTCATACACTTCATACCCTTCATCAGAATTTGGCAGTTAGAAAATGGCCACAGGCGGCTGACATCATGCAAAAGTTGTACTACTGGCCGTACTGCGGCATTAGCATTTCACATCATGAAGTACCAGATACACATTTGCGATTCCCAGTGCTATCAAATGAACTGTAGGACGGTGCCATGTGCGTGACGTTGCATGCACACATTAAATTTGGTTATGAGTTTGGAACATCGTCTGGGCTGGCTCTGCTGGCTTTGGGAAATCTATCTAGGTTGGACTGGGCTGGTGCTGCTGGGTTGGTATGAGGTCTGTGAACGAACAGCTCCCTGTGAACAGGCTGTGGACGAACTAAACATGAAATATGACCCACCCTCTGCCCACTAAATCCGTGGGCACAGCTGTCATGGAATTTTTATGTCATTTTCATCTCTTAGGCCGATCAGAGGACGGTCCTCGTGTTAAGCTGGTGGAAACGTTAAGGAAATCCGAGTAAACGTTGTTGGAACCACGCAGTTCATAGTACAAGCATACGGCGGGGTTTTACGCATCAACCTAGGTGTACGCCAGGCTGACATCGAGCCCGTGAATATGAGGTCTGTGATGGAGATAGATGATCAGCGCGGACTTGCGCAGATCGTACACAACATCTGGATGAGACAACGCACGTTGAAGTAAGCATGACTCATGGGGTCGCTTATTCCAGTTACTGTTTTTTATCGCAATTGGGGCTTGTAATCCTTTATTCTTTTTCCTTATTTGTTCTTTCTTTCCTTTGGCTACGCTGGAACTCGCGGTCCATGGCTCGTCTGGGCCTTACGAGCTCTCGCGAGCTTGTAACATAACGTATTTGATAGCAGGTTAATATAATATCTGATTCATTAACCAAGCCATAGGCTTGGACTCAAACTTGTCTCTTGAGATTGTACCAAATCGAAGAGGCTATGCTCGTACCTTCAATGCAAGCCATCTGCTGTAAACTGTCCAGCAGACCCGATGTTACAGAGGTTACCATATATCTTACAGTTGCACTGCTGAATCTTATTCAGTCAACGCATGAGAGGCCTGCTGGCACTTGCTTTTTAATCAATGGAAGCTGCGCGAGCTAAACCCTTCCTGCTTCTGCTCGTCATTCTTTATCAACTGCAACATATAAGTGGTTCGTGGAAGCGTTCGAAGCTCACGCAATGTGAGCTTCACCCGGACCTGGAGCTAAGGTGCGTTAGTCCAGCACGCCATCTTCCAAAGCAACTCATCGACGTCAGCGACCAGAGCCAAGATGGGCAAAAGATGATCCTAGATTAGTAGACCAACACTGCCGGACCTTTGAACTGTGGCCGGGTTGAACTAGGAGGTGCTCTCTTTTCCGTCAACGACAAGTTGCTCCCCACTCATGTGGTGCCGATCCTTCTTGCCCCCCAGCATCGTCCACACCGTCTCCCGTGATCAGCAACGATCACAATCCCCCATCCCGTCATCCCAAGTCAATCCCCTGATCCCAATGATCCCTTCCCTTTCTCCGCTCCACACCTCCTCCTCACTTCCGTGTTTTCCCTCCTCATTCTCGCCACAACCACCCCCATAACCATCTCCTCCTATCGAGACCCTTAAAAACTATCTTAACTACCTTAACTACTTTAACTACCTACCAGAATCTGCCGCCACCGTTTAACGTAGAATAATCCTTGTAACCATCACAACATTACAATGCCGTTCTCCTGCTCTGCAGAATCCAGCGGGACGTCGGTTTTTGGGGCGATAAGGGCATCTCTGAAGACGCGACGCTGTCGGTTTGCAAGTTCTGCGACCCAGGTCCTTCTGCCGATGCTGCTGCTGCTGCTACCACGCCCCATGATGGTGATAATGGCAACGGCAATGGTCGTCGGCGCCGTCATCTTCGGCATTTCCAGCAGCAGCAGCAGCAACAAGACCCGCAGCAGCAACAACAGCAGCAGCAGGGGCGGGGGTTGTTAGCCGGCCGTGAAGATGTCTGCCCTGACTGCAATAAGCCGCAGCGATTCCTCATTCGCGACGGGGTGGTTTACCTTAACAATTTGGTGGCATCAGATCATCTGGGGCCATATTTTGAGTTTATTGGATTCCTGGTGGAGTTGTACGAGGCTAGTCAGGTAGGGGGTGGGCGGCGGGAAATTAAGGACTGTCTGGGATGGGCCGGGGGTGGGGGGGTAAGGGGCGCTAGGGAGCGGGAGCGGGAGCGATGTAGAACTGGAGCTCCGTTGCGAATACAAGTGATGGCGCTCTCGCCGACACATCCACTTGACCTCCTCTCCTTTCCCCTCCTGCACAGACAGTTCCCGTTTCCCGGGGAAAGGTTTGGGGTGCGTGTGTGTGTATGTGTATGTGTGGTTGTTGGCGGCCACGCGCCCCCATCATCGCGGATGCGGTTGTGGCATGGCGGCTGGTGCGCTAATCCGGGGTGGCCGGGCGGGCGGGCGGGCGAGGTGGTATGGGGAGGGGAGGGGAGGGGAGGGGGACATGGGTTTATTGTACTGCATTGTCCTCATCGCCCCTTCCATTTCCCTTTCCGCCCTCCACGTGGGACCTCATTTCCATTGCCCCTCACCCGTGTCGTACCTACTTTCGTCTGCTTTGGCAACTGCGGCTCAGGTGTTTAGGTGGGTGGGTGGTCGGGCGGTGAAAGCAGCTGCGGGAGTGGTAGTGTGGGTTTTAGTGTGGGTTTCAAATCCTTAGGGGGAGTAAGCTGCCAACCCGGGTGGTGGCGAGGGGAGATGTGTATTGGGGCGGGGGGGGGAAGATTCAGGTTGAGGACAGGTTGGGGGAAGAGAGATCAGGGGGTAACGAAGCGGGGAAGGAGACACATGTATGTATATGCACTCCGTATATGTATTTGTTTGTGCATATGTATGTATGTATGTATGTATGTATGTATGCGGGGGCCCTGGGGTGGGAGGGAAGGCCACAACGAACGGAACCCCCTCCCCCCCCGAGGTCGGGGGAGAGGCGTGTGTGGGTATGCGGCTCCCGGGGTCTCACATCGCCGTGTTTGTGTTTGTGTCGTACGACTCCGTTCTGTCCCGATTTGCTGATAGCGCTAATCATCTCTGCCTCTGCGTCTCTTTTCGCTCCGCGCTACCTGTCTGCCCGTCTGTCGGTCTGCATGCCTGTCTGTCACGATAAATGTCTGGCTTCACTCTTGGCTGAGTGGCTGTACTGCTTCCCTTGGTGGTTGGCGGTTGACGGTTTGGACAGGCTCCCGGATGTGGAGTTCACGTACTGGTTTGGTAAGTGGAAACGTTTATAAGAGAGGGAAGGGGAACGAGGGTTTTAGGGTTTCCCTGACACGTCATAGACAGAAGAACGACACCACTCAACCCCCCACTATTTCGGTGTCTGTCATTCCAGCATATCACTATAATGCGGCAACGCTTCTTTCATCACCCGTTTCACAATTCGTACGGCATCTAAGCTTCCCGAAATTCCGTACTCTCACAACCGTACCCAGGTGACAACGCCCCAGCCTATACGCAAATCAACCCAGATGGTACGACGAAGTGGTCGTACTCCTCGACCGGTGAAACGCCACCGATTTTTGCATGGAGCAAGTGGAATGAAAATGCGGCGCTGGTGGTGCCGTACTCTGGGGCATACAGGTAAGGTGGGGTATTGCTGTGTATGCTTTGGAGGTTCAAGTGTACTGCCAGTTGTGGACATTGCCGAAGTGCCGTACTCGACTGTACCTACCTTCTTCCCCGTGTGTTTCCTGTCTGGACCTTGGGACTCGGGGGACTGGGGGGAACAGTTAAAACCAAACACGGGGAAGAAGGTAGGTACAGTCGAGTACGGCACTTCGGTAATGTCAACAACTAGCAGTACACTTGATTGATTGCTCGACATTCCCCCTGAATTCGCTCCAGGGGTGTTTCCGTTGCGTGCTGCGCCATCCGGACTTTGATCGCGGGCTTCCCCTCCTTCCCGGATTTCCCCTGTCTCTGGCTCAGAGCTCGGTGGGGTCAATTTCCTCTCGTCAACAACCCCCTTCCCCCTTTCCGACAGTTGTGGCTTTGGCGTTTTTGTATCTTGTGAGATGTGACTTCCCCTCTTCCCTTTCCCTCTTCCTTTCCTTTCCTCCTTGCGTACGACACCCTCCCCCTCTGCCCCCCTCCCCCTTTATCGCGCATCGGTCTTTCCTCCTCGGCAGCAGCTTCACTCGCTCGTGGTTCGTCTTCCCCTCCCCCCTCCCTCCCTGCCTCCCTCCCTCTCTCCCCCCTCCCCTCCCTCGCCCTGCTGCTGCTGCTGCTGCTGCTCCCGAGCAGGTGTCCATCTGATAGTTGGGATGCGATCGAGTCCCAGTTGGAACCGCTGGCATCTGTTTCCTGGAGTGCCAGGAACGAGGTGCGTGTGTATGTGTGTAAGTGTGTTCATTTCTGCAGCTGCTCGACTAGTTTTTTAATTTAACCCTCACTTTTGCCTGACCGTCCCCTTTCCCCCTCCCTCCCTCCCTCTCTGCCCCTCCTCCTCCTGCCCCTCCCCACCCTCCTCACCCTCCTCACCCTCCTCCTCACCCTCCTCACCCTCCTCACCCTCCTCCTCACCCTCCTCACCCTCCTCCGGGGGCCCCGACCAGGTGGCATTTGGTCGGTGGAACACGTTCTGTACCCACTACATTCCCTGGATGAAAACAGCCGATGGAGAGGTGGGAGGTGGACGTCACGTTTGTATGTATGTTTGTTTCTTTGTATGCGGGGGGGGACGCTTGGGTTAGCATACATGCGCGCGTGCATTAATAGAGGAGGTGAGCGCCCGAGTGCGGCACAGTAAGGCACAGTAAGGCAATTTTGTTTCCCCAGATAACTGAGCACCCGCCCCTGCTGCCGCGTTTTATCTAAGCGGAGGGGGAATTAACGCTGCGGATGTGTATGTGTTTGTATGTGAGTGTGAGTGTGTATGTATGTGTATGTGTGTGTGAGTGTGTAAAAAGACCCTAAATATCCATTAGGTGCAACGTTAAAGCACAGACATACATATACACAGACATGGCACAGGGATAAAGCAGTTGATGTGCAAACCCTGTGTGTTTGTGTTAAAAGTGGTCCCCGGGGATGTCTTGCTGGTGAGCTGCTCTAACTGTTAAGTAGGCTACTTTAGCTACTTTCGCTTCTGGTGTGTATTGCTGTATCGCTGCTGTATATTGTTGCCGTACCCCGTACCCCGTACATCAAGTCCAGGTGATGAAGTGTCCCCGGTCGCACCTGGTGTCGTTGGCGGAGGCGCATCCGGACCTGCTGGATACGTACGACCTTGGACGAGCAAGACCCGTACCGCTGGCGCACCAAAACGTGTATAAATACATTGTTTCAACCGACGGTGGGGTGGTGTGCGCGTTTCATAGTAGTGTAGTAATGCAGGGCCATATGTGCATCCAAGTTATGCAGATATCTTAATCGCGTGTTTTACCTTTGTAGAAACTGATGAATCTGACTGAAGAAAACGCGGGAAAGGGGGCACCCGCGTGCGCTAGTGCAGCGGGCTGCCCCATGTGTGTGTGTGTGTGTGTGTGCGTGTGTGTGTGTGCGTGTGTGTGTTTGTGTGCGTGTGTGTGTTTGTGTGCGTGTGTGTGTTTGTGTGCGTGTGTGTGTGTGCGTGTGTGTGTGTGCGTTTGTGTGTGTGTGTATTGGATACGGCTTAGGACGGCGGGCCCCACCCACCCACCCAGTATGCACGCACATACATACACGCAACCTAAGGTTGATAAACACACACTTCCCCCTCTCCCCTTCCGTGCGCACATATCGCAGGCTGGTCGATAAGTTCTAAGTTTGATAAGTACCTGCTGCTCGGATCTGCCGTATTCAAGGTACGGCAAACATTATTATGCACGGATTTTCCGCGGATGTGGGTACACACACCCCATGTGGTTGCCATCCTTGCTGCCGTACTCTGCCCCGTGGGGCGGCCTGCGTATCAGTTGCACAGCAGCACAGGGCATTCCTTACGACAGATCGACAACCCGGGCTGAAATTGCACATACACACATCTTTCCACCTTGAAACATGCACGCACACACAGACACACACACACACACACAGACACACACACAGACACACACACAGACACACACACAGACACGCATACACGCACACACGCACCCGAGCAGCTGCCTCAGGTGGCTGCAGATTTCCAAGGTGCGCTCTAAACCCCCTCAGACCTCAGACAGGGGGACCCCTGGGGGGACAGAGCGCAGAGGGCAGGGGGGTTGAGGGCAAGGCGGTGGAGACTTCCCCGTCCCCACCGATTACCTCTTCCTCCTCCATCTCCTCCTCCTCCTTTTCCTCCTCCATCTCCTCTTCCTCCTCCTCCATCTCCTCCTTTTCCTCCTCCTTTTCCTCCTCCTCCATCTCCTCCTCCTCCTCCTCCTCCATCTCCTCCTACGGATATTTGTGAAGGGGAATATGAGGACCTGTAATGGTCAGAAACTCTCCTCCACAAACACATACCCGCACCGCCTGGTATCTCGGCCCCGCCCTGCCTGTCTTCCCTCCCCATCCGCTTCACTCGCCAGTGGTTCGTCTTAACCTCCTCTGCGCCATGATATCTTTTGTGCGGCAGGCAGCTTCTACACGGTTCGGGTTTTATTACGATGCCATCAAGCCGTACGAACACTACCTGCCGTACATGGTCAACTCGAGCAACGACATTCTTGATGTACGTGTCTACGACGTCCTTTGGGATGACATGGCACTGATGACAACTGCGGGTTGATTGGTTGTGTGTATGTGGGGGGAGGGGGGAGAACGTGGGCGTGAAGAAAGATATAATTGTGACATGGAGGGCTTTCCCCTCCCCCCCGCGTGCGGTGTGTTGAACAACCCCGGGCTCGAAGGGCAACAAGAGTTCTTCCCGGGCCGTCCGGGTAAAAAAAGATGCACCCCCCCACCGCCTCCACCACCATACCACCAGCCTGATCACACCCTGCCGCTCTGACGCTAAAGCCCTGGTGGCCACAAGACCACCCATCATCACGTGCATTGCTTCTGAAGGCATAACTATAACCATTACACTACTAAAACTAATATTGTGCTCATCATTGTGCTATAATCCCCCTCTGCTGGCCCCCCCCCCACACACACATACATACATACAGGTGATATCCTGGGCCAAGTCCAACGACGAACAGGTACGCCGGATAGCTGAGGCGGGTCGGCGGTTCGCGCTCCAAAACCTCAACCGCGCGGCGCGCCTGTGTTACTTGTTTAGGCTGCTTACCGAGCTCAGTAAAAAGATGAGGTAGGGATGTGGGGTGCATGGAGATGCACACAATATGTAGGGGGGGGAGAGGCAAAGGGGGAGAGGCAAAAGGGGGGAAGGCAAAGGGGGGGAAGGCAAAGGGGGGAGAAACAAGGCGGACGAAAAGTAACATCGCTGCGAAAGTGGGCCGTGCGTGTATAGGTGTAGGAGTCCTGTCGGACTAAAGGTTGCGATAAAGAAAGGATTATCAAACTTCTGAATGTGCTGCCGTTCTGCCAGGTACGGCCAAGTAATTGTCTCCAACCCGTTTTGTTCCCCTCCCACCATTTAGACCCCTCAACCCCTTGAAAACCCTTCGCTGCCAGGTATACGCCAAGCTGTGAGCGCCGACAACTGTGCGTGCCGCTTGTACGGGAGATTCGCTTCTTTCAGTCGTACCGTCGTACGGCACAATCGTGCAAGTGGGTCAGAATGGGAAGGATGAACAACCGCTGGTCCTAGAGATGAAGGGAGTTCTGCAGGGAGAGAGCTTGGGAGGGGAAGGGGAAAGGGAAAAGGTTTTAAAGGTTTTAACTTAGGGTTTTACAGTTTTAGTAAGTTGTTGTCGAGATTTGCATTCCACATTTTCCCAGGTGATTCACCGTTGGAACTTATAATTGTCCCTTTGGCCTCATCTGCTGACTGCCCTGCCGTCCGTGTCGGGTTAGGACCCACCGCTCTGCCCATCAAAACCCCTCTCTCCCCTCCCCTCCACTGCTGTACCGCCACTGCGTTTACCTCCTCACCCGCCCCCCCTGGGGTCCCCGCGGTCCCGCTTCCGGCGGCCTTGCCTGTGTATGTGTGTGTACGACTATCCCGCATGATGCCGTACACGCACGATGGACAGGTATACGGAAGTCCTATTACGTTACGGTGATGAAGATCCTGCCGATTTGGATCCGGAATCCAATACGGATGCCCGGGCTGCCGGTGTCCGTTCGTATTACGGCCTTGAGGAGTTGCAGCGCCTCCACGAGAACGGAAACGCCTGGCCGCGAGATGATTTGCTGCTGCAAGTACGACAGCAGTACAGCAGTACATGATTACGCTTGTTGTACGGCAGGACCAACACCAGGAATAGCATAGCAGGCAGGGAAACGCCCTTGCCTTAGATATGACATTAACACGCAGAAATGCGTTTTGGATAGAAAGGGAGCGTTGTTAGGTTGCTTTGTGCGTAGATGTACGTGTGTAGGTAGATGAGACGCCAGTACACGCCTGTCGTACTTGCCGTACCTGTGGCGTGGAGATAGTCCAGCCTGCGCGTCTGCAGCAATAAAATACCTGTAGGAAGTGTGTGCGAGCACTGTGCCTCAGCCGGAATGCATGCGTAGTCCCGCAGGTTTGTGTGTGCATGTCTTGCCGGGCCTGACGCTGGCCAGGAGCTGCTGGCCAGGAGCCCCAGCGAACGAGACCGTCGAAGCACTCAATTACGGAAAAGGAGAGGGGCGTGAGGGGCCTCTGTCCCCTCTGTTGCTCAACACAGCGCCTGAACCGCCGGACGCCTTGTAGAGGTACACACAGCGTTTTAGGCCTATAGAGGGAAAATAGAAATGGAAGGCCCATAGCCTTGAAGGCTGTGCTCGAAGACCGCCAGACAGCAGCCAGCATCGAAAGACGCTCTCGGCAAGCTGCCCTCTCTGAAGTCCTTTCAGTTCCAGGGCGTTGGACATCCCACGGCTATATCCCCGGTGTAAAACTCAATTGCCCGGCCGTCGGTTGGCTCTCAGGCAAGCTAAAACCGACCCCTTCCCCGCCACCTCCGAAGCAATGCTGGAAGCCTACTAGGCCAGCGGACATCAGCAAGCTCACTGGCCGGCTAAAGTTTGCAAAAGCGCAGCAACAAACCAATCCATAGTGCTACCATTCTTTCAGTGTGTGTGCAGTTCTTGATGACATTAAAACCGGAATCCATTTCCTTTTTTCTTCGGTGCGCGCTTCCTGCATCTTTATATTTGTTTTGATTTGATCCAGCTCTGGGTATATCACCATTGGATGCGCTCATTTACGGCACGGCATTTTCAGCAGCTACCGATTCGTTTTTAAGACGGGCTGCCTCACCATTGCTGCTGTTGCCGCGGCTGCTGTGGCAAAGGTTTGATCCTCTTATCCAGGGCCGCGTGTGTATTGGGCTAAAGCCGCGAGGCGTAAACGATGGGAATTCCACGTGCGCAACTCCACCATAAAACTGTTGTGTTGCATAATATGTCATGTTGCACCTCAGGGTTCTCTGTTGACACCATCAGGCAATGTTTGGTTACTTAGCTAGGGGGTCATCAAGTACTCTGCCAGTAGCGGTGTGGAATGCATGCTGGCATTGAGTGCTGGTAGTGTCTGCAGTGCGTGCTGGCGCAGCCATAATAAGGATAGTCAGCAGCAGCAGCATTTTATACCCGATCGATGTCGAGGGTAAAGCGAAGGCTCTAGTAGTTAGGCAGCCTATGTCGCAGCTTTTGAAACGAACCGTTGGTGGACGAAAAGCGATCTCCATTGCCCGTGGGTGCGTTGCTTGGTTAGTACAAACACTAGTTGTCGGGGACTTGTTATAGCGAGCGATATTTGTTCCGCCCGTCCCGACTGTGTGTGCAGATACATGTGCAGCTGCTCGTGACGTTCCTGCCCGTAAACGAGCAACCCGAACGTTGCTTTTTTGAAATAAAAGACGGAAAATATGATATATAAATAAAGATAAGTATGTAGTGAGATAGGAATGTAAGTGTAAGGCCAGTGAGCTGTTCTGTCAATGGTCTCGTTTGACTTGAGGGTTCGGGTCCATGACGATTTCACTTTATGCAACGTTCGGGTTGCTCGTCCATATCGTCCCATTCCCGACATCTTGGGCCCTTCCCTGCTTTTGTAAATACAATTGGCTTCCTCAATTCCTTAAGGACTGAGTTTTCGGCTTGGCGTTTCGGACGTGTCTTGAGCTGTCAAGCATGCATGATGCCCGCTAGGCGGTACAGTGTGAGCCATATATCCTAGTTGCTCGCATTCCTGCTGAACTGCCAGTAGATCCTTCGCGTGATAAGTCATGGCGTTTTCCAACCGTTGTTAGCAATGCAGTCATTCAGTGCCGCAGAGGCACGTCATAGGTTGCGTAACACTTACAACTGTAACGCCAAAGCTATAGCAATCTAGAGCGCCTAGCCTCTACCTAGCTCAGGTGCAGTGGGAGTTTTTTATTCGCATCTAGAAGCATCTTGTAGGCAGGAGTTGTGTGACTCCTGCTGTTGATGCAAAACAGCAGCGAGTGCGACATGTCGTTAAGGAGCTCGCGTCTGGACAACCTGTAGCGCATGGAGGTAAGGGCCTATTTTTAACCCTATACCATAAGTCCTGGTGTGTTCTTCAACTTGACGCACCGACCAACCGCTTCATCATGGAGCAGCGCTACACATACGTCTCTACAATAAGCGCGGGGGCCTATGGAGTAGTTTATCAATGTATTGACTCTAAAACGGGCAGCTTCGTAGCTGCTAAAGGGATTCGTATGGCGCACCACGACGCGGAGGTATGTATCGTTCCCCATGCCTTATGTGTGAGCAGGCGGCAAAACAGACTTGTACATTATGCATTCTTCAATGCAAATTACGTGACGTCTTTTAATTTTATGTGCATTCCGATGGAAAGCGTTGTTGGCGGCCGCTGACCATTTCCGAAACGGCTGCAGTTCATGAGCAGTTAAATGGCCACTTGAAGCGTAATTGTGAGATTTCATATCACATTGTTCCTTTGCAAGTTGAGTTTCTGACGATTGTTTGCGGAAACAGCCATCGCTTCACGAAAAGCTTGCGTCTGCAAGTAAAATGAATTCGCCGATCTATGCCGCGACAACCCGTCTCTGCAAAGGAACAAGGCAATTAAGTCATTTGGGCGATACTCTGCTGCTTTCCGAGGAATGAAATTTGAATATGCAACCGTGTCGTACCATTGCCGAGAGCAGGCATCCATTCGTTTCGCGGTTCCGCATGCATGCGCAACCTGCCGGTCACGCTTGAAACTAGTAACCCGGTATCACTCACAGGTCATGCGGCTTACCCTTCGCGAGGTTAAAATCCTGAAAATGCTTCCTCCGCACCCGAACATCGTGAAGCTGCTGGAAGCGTTCCGAAGCAAGAGCGGCAGGCATGGAAAGGGGGGGAGCGAAAGGGTCAGCAGTAGGCAGGGGCGGAGGACGGGGTCTATAGGGGGGGAGGGAGTTGCTCAGGGTTTCGGACACTGGCCTGGCTGCGAGAAAGAATCCGTCCACTTGCCCCGTCAACCCCATTTTACTTAAGCAACTGCATACCGTGCAAACTGAATGAACAACACGTTGAATGTAAAAACTATTTTTTATGGACGATAGGACATCCAGCAGGCTGCGGCACGTTTCCCATGCTTAGTTCTGAAGGGCCAGTTTGTCATCAATCAGTTCGACCCAGCTGACCGAGTGCTTGGTAGCGTAGCAGGGTGACGGTTACTCATCCCGCCAAATCGCTAACACTTAAAACGAACGAACGAACGAACAAACAGACATTCGGGGAAACGGATCGACACTGGCTACCTGACTGCCCTCTGGCTTGCCTTGCCGCATTAACCAGCCAACATTTCGCGTCATACGGTCATCATCTGCACGCACGGTGGCTCCCTTTTACTTCATCTTTACTTCACTCGCTCAGCATGATGAATTTTCTTCTGGTGAGGCCAGATACGTCTATGCCGTACCATAAGACACACGCACACACGCACACACACACACCTGTGCACGGTTTCCCGCTGGCCTCTCCCTCGCTATTCCCACCTTGCATTACGATATCCATATCTTTAGGAAGAGTTATGGGACAAGTATATTTCCATTTCACCCACCAGCCTACCCGCCCTACGAACCCTTGCGCCTGCCCGCTCTATTTTCACTGCATTGCATTGCTCCAGGGTGTACCTTTTGTTTGAGTTTGTCGAAAGGAGCCTGTACCAGGTATGCGTGAAGGATCGTACGTGATATGTATGTAAGAAGTTGGAGGATCACCCCCGGCGTCCAAAGCCCCTGCTGCCGTGTCTGGCCTGTGGGGGAGGCTGGGAATGACACGCGACGGCTGGTAGGGCAAGGTGGAGTAAATTTAAAACTACATGTACTTTTGACGACGACATCTCAAAAAGTAGATGCGTTGAAACTTAGAACTCAGAAAAGCAAGTTTCACCGGTTTATATATGGTTGATTTGGTAACACGACTCCCTTAAGTTGAGAACCAAGCTTGCTTGCTTGGTTTCCACCTCTTAACTCTTCTTCGCTCGCAAGCAAGTGAACGACATGCATGCGTTTTTGCCGTACAGGAGCTGGAACGCCAACCCTCCGGCGCCCTCCCTGCGTCAATGGTCAAATCCGTTGCCTGGCAACTGCTCCACGCCCTCAAGCATTGCCATGACCACAAGGTTAATAAAAATTGACGAGCAGCGGTACAGGGAATCTGGGGAATTGGTAATTAGGAGCTGACGAATGATAATTTACAGTTCATGGCGAGGAAATACGGCTTGCTATGCATCTTTACCCGTGAAGTTATCCGAAGGACAGTGTCCGGCATAGGGCGTGAACACGGGCAATGGGCGTGTACGGCATCCGTACAAGATCTGATCCTGAAGCCCCCCTTCCACCCCGTGGCGGTGTAGCTAGGCGCCAACCCCTTAGCTCAAAAAGCGGCTGCCCTGCTGGGAGGAAATACACTTAACTGCACATCCTGTACGATTGCCGTACTGCCTGCTGTATAATATTCGCTTTTGTCATACAGGTGGTTCATCGAGATCTAAAGCCTGCAAATGTGCTCCTCAGCGGCTACACACCCGGGGTCGGGGGCGGCGGCGTTGCCAAGCTTTGCGACTTCGGGTTTGCGCGCGTGGTGGGAAGCAGCAACTCGCCGCAACAGGCTGGAACGGGTAGCAAACCCGACGGCCTCCAGGACGGGGGCGATATCGAGTGCGGCGCCATCGAAGCAGCCATGGGGCGATATAACAAGGTTCGGGGAGACACTTCTCAGATGAGTTCGTATGTGATGACTCGGTGGTATCGTCCGCCAGGTATGGCAACTGTACGATCGGCCATCTGGGGAGGGGAATTCAAATTCAAATTCAAAAAGGAAAGAGGGGTTCCAGGGAGAGGGGAGACCTTGCTAAGACAAGAAGGAAAGCCCCATATTTGAAAACCCTAAGGCAAGAAGGGGACCTGCGCTTCCATGGACAAAATTGAAGAGGGGTAGGAGGAATGTGGTGAAGGGCATCTTGAGAGGGGGTTGCAAACTTATGTTTGTGGGGCTTGCGTGTGGCGGGCGGGGCCCGGAGGAAACAGAATGAGGCGGCTTACATATTTTTTTTCGTTTTTCAAGGTACAACTGCCGGAAGTTGATTACGTGAAACGAAAGCTTGCATGTACAGCAGTGCTTTGGTTTGCGAGGTTTGCGTCGCTCAGCGTAACTTGTTTGTGACTGTCCTTGTGATGTGGTTTGTTTCGGCCGAGTCTGTACTGGTATTATAATTTAACTAGAATAGTTATATGAAGTCCATTTGTTGGAAGCTACCTGAAGTCGGCACTGCAGCAAATATGTATAGAGGATTGCACAACGTCAAGACATTACTATTTTCGTTTTCCCTTCACAGGCCTTTTGTTGCACTACGGAGAAAATATAAAGTGAGAAGCTGCGAACTAACACGCGCAGGACGCAGAGTGACCTGGCGGTTGCCGGACATCTGAAATCCAAAAACCTACAACCCGAACTATAACCAACCGGGAAAACCCCTGCAGCTATAACCACCAATAAAACCAACGAAAACCAGAAACGCCGGTGCCAGGAGAAACCAGCTTTACGAATGAGTAACGTGGATAGGATGCTAAAAGACATTCCAGCATTATTCCTTCCGAACAACCCTCTTTTAATAAGGACCCGTGCTTAGGGTTCGCTTAGGGTTGGAAGAGCGGGCCAGGGCAGCATGGTCTCTGGTTGCTTGTCAGCGGTGTCCAAGGCCATGGTCCAGTTCATGGTCCAGGCCATGGTACGGGTTTTCACCATGCTTGGTTCCATTTTTTAAAGGCCATTATATTTTTATGGCAAATTCAGTGTGAAAACCAACAAAGCGCCGGACCCCAGCCAGGTCCTATTACTGGTATTATTACCCATTCCCTGGTATCTGAGTGTCGGTCATTTCCAACATTCAGTGTTTGGGTAATGCGGACAGCACCGGTGGGGGTCCGGTTCGGCTCCACCGGAGCCTCATCCAGTACCTCTGCCTGGCGGCTGCCGCCGTCGCCCCCGATACCACGCTGGCTAACTTGCCTGCTACACAGGACAGGGTAACCAGCATTCGTTGGGGGCCCCAACTTGGGGCATATGCCTGCATCCGCTGCATCCGCTGTATCGTATCTGCAGTGCTAAACTGGGTATCACTCCGATTATCAATGTACCTACGTAGGTATACCGCCCTGAGCATACTTCGCAGCATGTTACCGGGTGCATGCCCTAAGTATTTATTTTGCCATGCACAATTATGCCGATAATAACCCCCCTCCCCACCCCACGCCAAACCACCCCATCCCACCCCGCAAATCGTCCCGTTGGAAACGATCACCCTGCCCAACGACTGGCGAACCACCACTTCGATTGCTGTCATGTGTGCGTATGTGTGTGTATGTGTGTGTATGTGTGTGTATGTGTGTGTATGTGTGTATATGTGTGTGTATGTGTGCGTATGTGTGCGTATGTGTGCGTATGTGTGCGTATGTGTGTGTGTGTGTGTGCGGGGCGTTTACCCGGGATGCCGTACTGGTCGTCGACCCCGATGAACACTCTGCATCATCGAACGTGTGTCACCCACCCGCCAACAACAACAACAACAACAATCCAACCATCACTTCAACAACAGAGGTAAGCGATATTCCGTTTCCGCTCCGCAGAAATGAAGGTTAATCATTATCATTAACATGATGCCCTCCTTTTTTGTTTGGTTCTGTACCATCCCTTGCCTCTACGTCATCTGCCGTATTCCACGCGGACGGATATAATTACCTTATCACATCCGTCCGCGTGAATCTTTAACGATTGCTTCGTATCCGCGGAGGGGGGCGTTTCAAATCCGCTTGATTTGCTGCACTGCATTTTTCCCGTTCCCCCACTACCTAGCCCTTCTCACTTATCAGCACACAAGAATTAAGAGACCCCAATCGTTCATCAGCAGTTCAAAATTTCAGAAGTTGTTCTCGTTTAATTGCGTCTACTGAATCGTGTGGACAGATGTGGACGGGAAGGACGAGGAGGGGAAAGGAACCTGGAAGGAAAGGGAAGTCCGGCACAGTCAGACGCTGCCAGCTAGGAATAATAAGAAATGAAACGCTGAAGGGAAAGTCAATCTCAGGTTTTTCCAATGTTTTACACTGCGCCTTGCCGCGCCAATCGGACCTTAGGTGCGTCTTGGATTTCGTTTGCCTCTCGTTCGCGGGTGCTCTTTAGGAAACGATTTTTTTACCCGTTCTGTTTTTGCAGATATGAAAGTTTTGCGGTGGATGAGATTAAATTTAGTGTGTCAATTTCCGTCACCGCCGCCGTCACGACCATCACGATCACATAAGAAATCAACCGTCAAGCCGGAACGGCAAAACGACACATGGCAAAAGGATTTTCCCGCTTCCTTTCCTCGGTATCCCCCTTTTTTTACATACTTCCGTACACACACACGTGTGCACACAGATCCTGGTGGGCGACTCGTACGGCACCGCCATCGACATCTGGTAGGTAGACCTGGTGGTTGCAGGGTCACTCGGGAAACTTCCGTACGGTGTTGGCATGATCGTATGTACTGATCCGCGAGACGTAAGGATTGGAGCTGTCACTTGCGCAACTTTACCGAAACAAATAGTTCAGTAATAAAGTTGCGGCTTAGTTGTAAGTGCTCTTTTTTTTCTTACCTGAAACCCTATATTTACTAAAGAGGGGTGGCTGCCTGCCGCGCGCATATCGACGCGATTTCTTTCGGGAAAATAAATAATAATTCGTACGTGAACCACATGAAATGGGCTGTCACCCATTGTAAAGCCTAGAGTCTTTAGCTTGGGAAATCCGAAAGCCCTAAACCCCGCCGCAGGTCCTTGGGATGTACTCTGGCGGAGCTGGCCACAGGGCTGCCCCTGTTCCCAGGTAAGGTGGGATCCAACACCACAGAAACCTACAGAACACCTCTATTGCGGAAACGCGGGCACGGGAAAAAACAAACTAGAAACTGGACAAACCTGGACAAAGAAATGGATTGGGGACGGAGTAAAAATGCATTTCTACTTTCGCCCCCCTTAAATCATGTGCATGCAGCGTGTTACTTCACTAAGACGCAAACAAAACAATATTAAGACCATAAAACGTTGAACTCACTGACTCTTATGTCGAGCTAACCTACACGGCATGTGCCCTATACCTCCGGCTCGTCCCAACACACACGCACAAACACGCACAAACACGCACAAACACGCACACACACGCACACACACGCACACACGCACACACACACACACGCACACACGCACACACAACCACACACGGTTCCCGTTCCTGCAGGTCGCTCCACTGCGGATCAGCTGTGGCTCATCATGCGATGTTTGGGACCCCTCCATCGCTCCCACATGACTCGGATGTTGCTCCTCGCGGACCGGTCTCTCGCATCACTGGCCACCTCGCCACCTACCAGGTCCAGAACCCTGCGGCAGAAGCTGCCGGTGAGGGCGGCAGGCGACGAATGAAAGAAAGAAAGAACAAGGGAATGAAGCCCCCCAGGTCCTGGACTGTACTAGGTTACGAAGAAGCACAGAACGATAGACGAGAAGGAAAAAACATAGAGGGGTACTCTAAGGAAAGGCCAATAATATTGTAGGAGAAGAACCCTAAGATACTGAACCGTAGTGGCTTAGGGTTTGTAGTCATCGGGGTGGTTTAGGGTTAGGTTGAAGAGTGGTTGCCAGTGGGAGGCCAGGCAACATAAGAATATCAGCTCTAAATAATAATAACATTTTAATAACCTGGAAATCCCTGAATCTGAAACCCTGAAACCCTAAAACCCTAAAACCCGGTGTGGTAACAGGACGTGGGTCGGGAGCTATTGGATCTCATTTCTGCTTGCCTGACTCTGGATCCACGCCGACGGCCAAGTGCCGACGAGCTGCTCCAAATGCCGTACTTCTGGGATGTGCCCCGCCTTCTTGCCGGATCCGACCTCGTACGACAACTACCGTACGCCGCCAACATGAAGTGTACGATCAGTACACGTACCGCCGCCAACAATGCCACCACTGCCCTGCAGAGGTCGTTCGGTGTGGCTTTGGGTGTCGCTAGTCCGGGTGCCACAAAGGGCTTTTGCGGAAATGGTGGTGGCGGCGGAGGTGATTTCGGCAGCACAGGGGGAAATAACAGCAGTCATGGGCAGGGCGGCGGCGGCATCGGCGGCAGGACCAAAGGCCGGGGTTACCCGCTGGACATGATTGGAAAACCGATTGTCGTACAAATGCCGCATCCGTCGCCGCCGCCGCTATCCTGCAGCGAAGGTGTCCTGGCGGAGCCGGCTGCCGCTCGCGCCGATTTTGCCGGTCATTCTATTCCCCCAGCTGCGCTGCCGCCACTGGATGACTCAGCCACCTGGGGACTCATGGTACGGCACTTGAATGATGTCGCCGCCGACGGTGGTGACGGTGGTGTTGTCGGCAACGCGAATCTAAACAAGTTCAGTAGTGATGGGGTCAAAGAAGTCATCGAACAAAAAATGCTCGAGGTAATAACAATGACGCGACCTGAGAATTTGTCCATGGCAGTGGCGGCGATGCCGACGCTGACGGCCTCGGTGGAAAGGACGGCAGCTGGAACGGTCGTTGCGGCAGGCGGCGATGCCCAACAGACATCAAGGACCTCCCGTCCAGCAGCTCCTGGTGGTGGTGCTGCTACTGCGGCTGAAGCCATTGCTGCTACTGCAGCTGAAGCCATTGCTGCTACTGCGGCTGAAGCCATTGCTGCTACTGCAGCTGAAGCCATTGCTGCTACTGCAGCTGAAGCCATTGCTGCTGCGGCGGTTGCCGCTATGACGTCGACGGCGGTGGCTGGAGTTGCGCTGACAGACAAGGAGTCGTCATCGGCTGCACCTGTCCCAACACACAACGTCATGCTGGATGCCGTTCCAA